AGAAACAGGAGGCAGATTTCAGGAAGCTCTTTGTTGTTTTGAAGGTCTCAGCACAGAGCCTTGTTCACGTCTAAAAGTGTTTTCCACTTCCGCCTGTCTTCTGTGTGGTCGGTTTAGGACTCGTTCTCGACGTGGTTCTCCAGCTCTCTCGTTTTTTTCACTTGTTTACTGGACTGTATTCACTGATCTGGCTCTCCTCCTGACGTTTATCAGTGTATAACAGGATTTTGGTCACTCTCATCGGTCTCGGATGGCCTTATTTGAGCATGTAAGTTCAATGTGGAAGTGAATGTTTGTTGTTCTGTTTCCTTATATACTTTGTGTCTAATCTCTTGTGTTTGTACTTTTCATTGTGCATGCTTTTAATGATCTCTTTTGCTTGTCCAATCAGTGTTTTTGAGGTTTCTCTAATGTTTTGTTCAGAATTAAACACAAACTGAGTCAAACTAGACTATGTTTTCTGTAGATGATGTGAGTGGAGTGCTGTATTTTTGTTGATCATTATTTTAAGCAGCTGTAGTGAAACTATAATCTCGCTGCAGTATTGACTAGTGTTTTACGCTCTTCAGAGCTTCTACTTCTCATCACAGCTGTATTTATGAGCTGATGCTCTGCACTGTAAAACTGCAGCTTCATCTTTCTGGTGGTTTGTGTTCATGTCGTTCCTTTCTGTTGCTTTGTCTTGAGCGCTGCATGTTTGTTATCAGCCGTAAACACATGTCATCTCTCACTTTATTCGGTGGTTCGCACAAAAACCATCAGTCATCAGGGAAAGCGCTCAGTAACTCCTGCATTCGCTGATGAACTCGGTGTTTGTGCCGTTCACTTCCGGATGTTTAGCGAGTGACCGCGGCTGACCGTTCAGCTCATTTCTGTTTTTTGCTCAGTAATGTTGATTGGTTCATTTGATCTGCTTGAATCTGTGCTGAGCATCAGGATAAAACAACATACATTAGTTAGTAGTACTGGTTGATTGATATGGGTTTTGGTAGATTGGCAGCGCTTGAAAATGTATCACTAGTTGGGTGTTGGTTGCACTTTTGTCTAAGACTTTGGATTATTCAAGGAAAAGTTCATCCAAAAATTAGAATGTGCTGAAAATGTGCTCATCCTTAGTGCATCCGAAATGTAGGTGAGTTTGTTTCTTCGTCAGATTTGTAGAAATGCAGCATTGCATCAGTGTCTCAGCAATGGATGCTCTGCAGTGAATGGGTGCCGTCAGAATGAGAGTCCAAACAGCTGATAAAAACATCACAATAATCCACAAGTAATCCACAGCACTCCAGTCCATCAGTTAACATCTGGAGAAGACAAAAGCTGAAACAAATCCAGCATTAAGACGTTTTTAACTAAAATACATAGAGTCCATAATCCATAATAACGCTTCCTCCAGTGAAAAAGTGTTCTGGTCTGAATCAGGAGAGAAATCTGCACAGATCAAGCACTGTCCAAAACAGCTCTAAACCAATATGTGGCTGGATTTTGATGTGAGAGACAACAGGAGATGCACTTTTTCACTGCAGGAAGCGTTATTGGTTAATAATATAAATTTTTTCACTTAAATAGCACTAATGACCGGAACAGTAGCCCCTCAGGTTAGCTGTTTTTATCTAGTAGATATAACACTCATGTGCAGTACAGGTATAGAGCAGGTTTCTGCTGCTCCAGAGTCCAGTAGCGTTGTGTTTTCCATCTCTCCATCCGACGAGGTGTTCAGATGAGCTGGAAAAGCTTCATCACAGACTCTGTTGGTGTTTTCACAAAGCTGTCAGAAAGCAGCGGTTTCTGTTTTCACAATGACACATGATCCAGTGAAACTGCAGTCATCTCAGTCCGTCTGTGCTCTATAAATGGATTTTCGTATGGAAGCTGCTGCATGCTACATGCATGCACGGATCATATAGTCTTTATTTTTAAATGAAACCTTGTTTTATTAGCACTTAAAAAAAGTTAAGACCCTACTCAATGCATGTTCTGCAAGATTCCCCTTTCTGTCATACATATTTTATTGGACCGTCCCACTTTTAATGTATGTAGAAAACTCTTTTAGGAAGTGAACTCACTTAAAGAGTTTAGTATAATTTTGCCAGAAAAAGTTTTAGATTTTTTATCATCTTGTGTTTGTTTGTTTGCTGGTTTTTATTGTATTTGCTATACTTGTATTTTTGTAATCGTTTTTGCCATGAAAATAGCCTAAGATGCTGACATGGCATTAAATAAAAATATACTACTACTACTATGAGCACTTGATTTTTTCAGAAATAATGTAATCTTCACCATTTAGCCTAACATTTGAAGGACTTTTAGTTGTGGCTATACCGTGCAGTGTTTTACAAAATAACCAAGGCACTTCAACACAAACCCTTTATTTTGTGTAAAACACAGTTATCAAGCCTAAGATGCTGACATGGCATTAAATAAAAATGTACTACTATTTATTAGCAGCTCTTCATGTGTTTGTTATTGCCTCCTTAAAAAGATTTGTTTGGATAAAAGCATCTGCTAAATGATTAAATATAAACATATATTTTTAAGTTGATCCAGAAAGTCTAGGATGCAAAAATGAAGCCATAATTACAAAAAAATAAAAATAAATTGATGATGAATGAAATTGTTGGTTAAATTGAGGATGTGAAAGCAGAAGAGAAGAATGAATCAGTCTCTCCAACGTTCATTTCGCTGCTCTTTGGATTTTCCTGGTTCAATTCAATTCAATTCAAGTTTATTTGTATAGCGCTTTTCACGATACAAATCGTTGCAAAGCAACTTTACA